ATGCCCTCTTATGTCATCAAAAAGCACTGGAAATCAATCAACAAGCTCTTCCTTATAATCATTCTGATTTGGCTCAGCCTTACAACAACATTGGTTCCACTGATGACGAGATAGTTGACCATTCGAATGTACTCTCCTCTCATCAAAAACCCCTGGAAATCGAACAAAACACTCCTCCTTTGAATCGTTCTCATTTGGCTACTTCTTGTAGGAACACTGATTCCGCGTGTGAGAAGGTGTGTACCTTCTAGCAAGCACGTTCATTCCCAGTAATGTTTATCGTTATCTTTGAAAAATCGCTTTCACCGGCACATCCTCATACTAAAACAGTGATAAATAATATTAACTATGTAAGAAGAAAGGTCTTTATTTATTTATTTTTCTTGCTCATTGAATAAATTGGTTTTGATTGCTACTCATTTTCGTTTCTGGCTTCTCTCAACTCGTTATTGCGTACGCACGCGCGACCATGGGGACTCTCTATAAGCCTGAAATAAGTATATATAGAGAAGGCAACGTCGGACTGATCGGACTATGAACGTGGATAGGACGCACGACAGTGACGACGGGAACCATTTGTTCATATTAAGAACTGATGAGTATTACACTACTTTTGCTATAACAAGTACAAGAAACACTCTGAGTCAGATTATGAAGGCACCTGATAGGCTGTAATATAAGTTGAGGCGTTGGCTTTCTTCTGTACACAACGATATCTTTATAAATAAAAGTTTAACATAGAGTATCAATGTAAAAGCTTCGGTAAGTATGTATAGTAGAAAAAAAAACATTATTTCTTCTAAAATGGATTACGTCTGTTTGTTCGAGAAGCTGTCTTGAGAAGTACTATTGGCAACTAGGACTTCTCAACTTATTAAGATGTACTCCCTCTCTATTAGAAAAAGAAGATAACTCAGTTAGTACTTCACTATTTCTCTATTCTACATCCTAATAGAAAAAAATTATAAACAACTAGCGGCGGCCGGAGGATTTTTCGTTTTGGTATGTTTAGCCCACACAGAGTTTTTATGAACAACAGATGACAAAAAATTATCTTCTCGATAAGTCTCTTCTACAAAACCATTAAAAGCATATTACCATCGGTTACTAATAGAAATATGACGCTGGGCTTCAGTGGTTGAAGTCAAAGTGATGAGAAGGAAGCGCTCATCTTCTTTTGAAAAACTTTTCTTCATTTTTACAGCATAATCTAGCGAAACTTAGGTTTATCACATCTGATATGAGCCATACAAACCATCTTTTGTATACAAACGCTTTCCTACTTCAGTGATCTTCGCCTTCTCCTTTAGCTAGCATCTCAGCCTAGCTAATGGGATACGATTTTTTCAAAGATTATAAATATAGCGAAAGATGTAGGTGTGAGTGTATAGTTCGCTTCATACTTCCACTCCTTATGAGGAGGGCCTGGAAATAGCAGATTTTCGAAACAAAGTTACTCCACTCTAGTAGAGTCGCCTTGACTCAAGCTTTATTGAAAATTCTATCAACTGAACCTTACTGAAAGATACATTGTAAGTGCTGAAATTGTAATAGATGATTCGATATCAGGATGTCATTAATTTAGTTTGTAATGGGAGATATGGGATACAAAAATCTAAATTCTCATGTACTCGGAAGCGTTCTAGAGTTTTTATGATTTCATTTTTTCTGGACATATTGAAACCCAAAAAGGGTTTTCAAGCCCCGATTTGAGCTCTCGACAGACACCGAAGTTCTATGTCGAGTCCTGTATTTCCTGTTTCCCATAGATCGAAACTTCAGCGTTTGGTTCTCTCAACAAGCAACTTTCGACCTCTCGAACGAGTACTTTCGTCGCGATCGGAACTCGGTGAAATTAAAAACAGTTCAGTCTGTTAGATATTTGATGATCTAGTCGTTGAAACTTCTCAAATATATACGAAGAAGAAAATTTAAACATATATGTTTACGATGAACTTTCCTGGAACATTTACGTTTAATGTGAAACCCTATTCTTCTATGAAAGTCATCCTTTCGATTCAGAAAAATAGGTAATAGTTTGACGCTTCTATTTGTCAATTTAATATTTGCTACTCATTTCTAAAGTTTAAAAAGTAACGATGTTTTATTTAAACAAAAAGTTTCCCTTCTGTAACTACTATATGAAAGGCTTTTCTCAAATATCAGCCGTTAAAGACAGGATGTGTTCCATCAAAATGACATTTGATAACCAATTGATTCAACGAAGTATTTAGCCAATATTTAAAAATTCTTTCAAAGTTTGAATATGAAAAATTTTGATATCACTGTGTCTTCGTGACTTTAGAGTGTGGGTAAGTCTGACTGTAAGAATGACGGGAAGATTCTCACCCACAGCCACACCCATACCCTAATTCTGAAAGAAATATTTGGTAAAGTTTATTCATTAGGTGTATGTGATGAACTTATTCTTGTAGAAGCATGTTGCACGACAATCGGTAGTATTTAATGATAAATCTTTTTGCTTTGTTTGTTTTATTTGCTACTCCATTCGTGAATGAATTTTGAGCATAATGCAGAGGCATAGATGATTGAGAAGAATAAGTTTTTTTCAATAAATATGAAGTTAATTTCAGTCGACGATGTTGTCGATTAATGAACAATGATAATTTAGGACTTGCTAGTGTTTGTGCAGGACGAACTTTTAATAAATACGAAACTGTATATTGTTGATAGATTATACTTGCAGATGAAGAAATTTTTGTGGATATGTGTCGGTTGGATACAAAAAGAGTTACTGGTTGTTAATTGATGAGAACAACAAATTAAACGACGTGATATTGATAATATTTATTTTCTGATTGTAAAAGAATTAGATAATATACTCATGGTTTTTCAAAAGCGGAGGCAGTAGTACTATACTATATCATAGAAGCATTGGAGAAAGTTTTATATAAATGTGTACTGATGGTCCAAGAAATGCTAGATAATTCTAAAATATTTCACTATTGTTCATTTGCTGTGACAATATTACAATTTCGATCATAACTGTTCAACTCCGATTTGCTTCCATCAAGAAAACTTTTGCTTCTGCATTTAAGTCCGTACTGCACGATATTTATTCTCGGCAGTTAGGTTCTACCTCAATCCGAAAAAAAACCGAACAAATCCATTGCTGACAGGTCTGGTTGATCGTTGTTTGTCTTCAATGTCTTTTAGATCTCCACAAAACTTTTCATATCATCTTTCAACGGTTCAAAAAAGGGAGAGTCTGACCTCGAAAAACAATTTACTGTTTGTCATGAATAGCTCTCGCTTGAATATATAGTAGTTCACCTTTCATCGAAATTCTTTTATTACCACATGAACTAAAGAATGATGAATTATTATAGAATTATTATCTGATTCTCATTAGATTACAATCTATAGTGTATAGTATATTAGAAAAAAATTCAGATCAATCCATTGATTTGTGTAGTTTGTATTGACAATCAAATCACAGTATGTCGTTTCCCTTTCTTCTAAAACGTATTCTAATACTTAGCTTTGCAAACTTTTGGGTGCCTGTTCTATCTTGAAATTTTCGATATAATACATAATTTGATAGAAAAGCTTGTGGCCTACCTAATGGCCATAATATTTAGCTAATTGTGTTGCTTAATACATCATTAGCAAGAGCAGTACAAAGTGCAGCAGATATTCTATTTGAATAGCGGTTTCATGTTGACAAGTTGTTTTACTCGTCCTCTATGTATGCATCAACCATAGATAGACGTTCTTGTACTGTCTTATTTTCACATTGAAAAAGGGTAAAAGTTATTGTAATAGTATGGATTTGTAGGAGATCTTTTTTCGTAGGAAATTCTTATATTTAAAATCAAAACAAATTATTTCACCGAAATTATATACATTTGTTACACAATATATATATTAGCAGTAAAAAGCTTACCATAGTCCTATGTACATAGAGGATGAAATTTATAATAACATGCTATTTTAAGATTGGTTTGACACATTCTTGTTTGGTAAGATATATATCTCTTCTGGTGCTGGAACTGCAAATCAGTTTCTTTTCGTACTCTTGCTATTTGTAACGTGATAAAGGTAAAGAGCTACAGATATGTAATCTATTTTGATTTCAAACACTTACAAGAGTTTTGTGCAGAAAAACATTCGCTTCAAATCGATTACCTTCTCTGATGCGTGAATAAGATAGTACAAGAACATCTATCTTCATATTTTCTGAATCTTAGCTCTCAAGACCATTGCGTGAGAAAATAATAACTTTCGATGTGTATGTCTGATAACTAAAAGAAGAAAATGCGGAAAAGACTGCATAAATGCGATGCGAATCGATCTCATTTTTCGCGAACGGAGTTTCAATTAACATAAGAGCGAAAAAACGATTTCATCTAAAGTCGATCCTGCCCTGTCGAAAGTTATCACTATTTCTCCTGTTCGTAACAGTTGACTGAAGCACCATATTTAATTATTTCAGGTAAAAGATGGAAACTAAAATGTCAAAATTACCGTTTTGCAACATATACTGAAAATGCACGAAAAATCACATCGAACATTCAAAAAAACCTTTGTATCATCTCGAGGCATGGTTCTCTCTGATACAGTTCGAACTCATTTCTAGCGATTTGCAGTTCCCTAGATCATTGCAACACAAAGTACAGGTTTGATTACAGTGAAAAACACGCAAAGTATGAAAGCCGGATGCGTAAGCCACAGGCTGCCAAAATACTGTGTTTCGCACGGCATTATCATATTAGTTTCAAAGGGCTACACTGATAAATTTTCCCGATAAAATCTCACATCTCTGAAAATCCTTTCGGTATCAGCAGTATCTTCGTTAAGTTCTTTTTCTCAGTTAACAGATGTATTCTATTCATCAAAAGCTTCATTATTAATTATACAATGTTCTTAATTGACGATAATGCTTTATGTATTGAACTACTAGTAATAAAAAATAATACTTAGCAATAAATACTATCGAAAAACCTCACCGGAAATCAATCGAAAATACAAAAAAAAAGTCAAATGTAAAGAAAAACTGTTAACACAATAGAATACCATCGAAGAAAGAATAAATTAAATTGAATAGATCCGGATGAAATATTTTTAATTGTTGTCATGGAAATTTGAATTTCCTTATCTAATTGACAATAATTTTGACATTCTTGTTCAATATTAGACCATCGTTGTTGACATTGTGTAAAAATTCCTGTTATATTTCCTATTTCACGTCCAGACCATTGTTTAGGAGTTGCACATCGTGCAAATAATGATAATTCTATTGGTAATCGATAAAAATCACCATGTGCATATGCTTTTTCTAAATGACGACGAAGTTCAGGTCTTGATATCCATCGATCAAGATATGTATCTATATCTGTATGTATACGATCAATACCATTTCCATCAATTAATAAAACTCGATAGATATCACCATATTTTAAATAAAATAAATCACATGTACAATGAAGTGGATTATTCATTAAGTAAAGACGACGTAATGATGGAATTTGATCATAAGTACAAACATCAAGTGAGCGTAAGTGTGTACTAACAAGATCAATTTCAATTAATGAATGTGCACGACAAAATGTTCGTTGTAAACTATGATATGAATCATTTGTCATTGTTTGAAAATTATTTCGTCTTAATTTTATTGATCGTAAATGTTGATTTGAAATAAATAAAAATGGTGAAAGATTATTTAATTCAGTATTTTCAAGATCAAGATATTCAAGATTTTTTAATGGTTCCATTAATTGATTTGTTAATAAACGTTGTCCTAATGGATTATTACTTAATAAAAGAATTTTCAGACGATATAATGAACGAAATGCATTGAAATCCATTGTAGATATTTCATTATCAGATAGATCAAGCGTTGTTATCGTTCGACAACGACTAAATACAGCATCGGGTAAATAAGTTAATTTATTTTCACGTAAAATTAATGTATCTAAACGTCTGAGATCAGTAAAATCTTGTTTATGTAATTCGTCTAATTGATTTTTACTTAAATCAAGTGTACGTAATTGTTCAAGACGACGTAGAAAATAATTATTTATGAGTGAACGAAATCGATTACGTTGCAAATTAAGGTTAATAAGAGTTGAACTAAATGGTTGAAAAACATTATTTGGAAGATACGAAAGATGATTTGATGCTAATATGATTGTTGTAACTGGTATACGATAATTAATAAATGTATTTGGTTCTATACTAGATATACCAAGACCATCAAAATTGATTGTTTGATCAGTAAATAAAAATGATGTTAAAGATATATTTGATTGAGACAATGAATCAAATATTGAAGAACTTAAATGATGAATTGATTCAGATATTGGTACAACTAAAATATTAAGAAAACTTTCAAATTATCCTTGCTTTTTTTAAACTAAGACAGCGCATTTTCTTCTCAAAAAAAAAGGCAAGTTTTGTCATAATTATGGAAATTAAGATAAATGCATAAGAAGATAACTTGAGACGTGATCTTTCATAAATGACATGATTTTTTATTCAGCACCTCGTTATTTGCCAAAATTTTTGATGATTTTTGTCAGCACCAGCTTGACAAATATGCTGTTTTTAGATAAAGCAGAAAATGTTTTCTGCTTTTTCTCTGTTTATGATTGTCTTATCGCGCATTTCAGAATTGTCGAACGTGCTTCATTGTAGCGAATGGCTTGTTTTTATTTGTTTGAAAGAAAGTGTCAAGACGTACAGCAGAACAGAGTGCCTTTTTGAATTAAGGTCTGTTACTAGTACATAACAAGAGAACTTTTATAATTAGACCGCTAGTTTGTGAGAGTTGTCAATTCATTGAACATTTTATTTCTTTTGTCCGTTGAAAGAAGTAAGAATATAAAAGAAAGGATTCTGTCATGCCCTACATCTTGACATGGTCTATCCAGTAAAAAAATCACTTCTATAGAATACAAGTACACAAACAAAATTTGTGTTGGTAAATGAGCTATTTTTTGATCGTCGTTTGTAGAATGTCTTCACAAATCGTCATCGTATAGGGCTGAAAATTTTATCACAGCATTTTCACTGTAGGCCCACCATGTGATAAAAATTCCATACGATTTGAATGTACCTAACTCAAGATCGATTTTTCAGAAGAAAGAGTCTTAATCAGATTCATATTTAATAATCAAAAAGAAAATATATAAATTTTTGTCAGTTTGCTTTGTCAGCATATACTATAATGAGTATGTATTGGATGATATACAATGCAAAAATTTCAGACTATTTTTTATCTTTTATGTTTTTCTAAATATTATTAAAATGAAAAAAAAATCTTATACATTACTAGTAAATTCAAGCTTATGATTTAAAACTTTATGATCGATACTTCACATGTTCTTTTATCTATTTGTATACATAATGCAAGAAATAACAAAATTTACATCTCCTGAACGAGAGCATTGATTAAATGACGATCATTTCTATCGTTAAGTCAAAACATGAGTGCACTTATTTCATGTAAAATTTTGATTATTTTCATAATGATCGAAATGTTAATCAAAAGCTCAAATTTTCTAGGATGCCTGTATTTTCAAAATTCCCATTGAATTGTTTCAGTTTATTTTATGTTAACCTAACTGTTATCAGGTTCTCTTTGGTTTGACACTAGTTTAGAATTTTTTTTTTAAATTCAGATACTGAATGATATCCAGTCCATGCATTTTGGACAGCATTAACAAGAAATTTTTTGTCATGATTATATTCACTAACTTATTTTATCTAAACTTTATATATTAATAGATGACATATATTTGCTAATAATTATTTATTGCATTATTTCTGTTATCATGACATTTTGTGTAGGCTTGTATGTGGCATCCCTGGTCTATGTTAGAATGATATTGTGAAAAAACAGTCATTAGTATTTATTTGAACATTATTATCGAACTTGTAAGAATCTAAAATCTATAAGAAAATGGATTTTCGAATTCGTTTTACGACGGAAAAGTATTTTTTAGAAGTCAAGTATGATGTCAATGGACATTGTCTACAAGGAAAAAAGATAGAAAAATAACGCGAATCTTAAATCAAACAAGAGCGAATTGTTCGGTGGCTCAATTTCGGCAAAGACATGAAAAAAAATCCATGAAAATCTTTCAAATACGGTCATCCTCGGAAAATCTATGCCTTTGACTGTGCACTTGTTTATTTTTGAAATCACCAAATATTAAATGAAATAACGTTTTCTGAGCTTGACTTTACAGTAGAGAAGATCATATGTTAATCAATGCTATTGTTCAAGAAATATATGCAAAAAAAAACTGGAAAGAATTCATTGAAATTCAAACAACAAATTTTTAATTTAACTCTTGATCCTATTTGAATGTTCATACAATAAAAGCTTATATGAATAAAAACGATTAACTTTTTATTTGAGCACAACAGGTGTTCAAAGAGAATTACATCGATGTAGAACGATTATGATGGGAGGAAGATATTAAAAGAATTGAGGAGGTCAATTTGAATTTGAATATTCTTGTTCTTTTTCGTCTTAAATCATTTCTAAGTAGTATTTATAAAGTTACGAGCTTTATGATATTACATAATCAAGAACATGAGTATTTGTCGATATGTTGTAAAAGAATTAATAGATGAATGAAAAAAGACAAATTTTCTTGTTCTATTCAGAAAAATAAAATAAATAAATATAGAACCGATTGAAAGTCTATGCAATACTATTTTTGATTAAGATATATATTTCTTTCAATACGGAATTTTACCTTGACGGAATCATTCAAATAATGATTATTATCAGTGATGTATCTTGAAATACGCAATTAGAAAACAAAACATTTAATATATATAAACAAAATAATCGATATTGATTGATATATTAAAATCAAAGCTAGATGTCCAAAAAATATAATTGAAAAAACTTTAACACGACAAAGTGGAGAAAGTAGCTGACATACTTTTAAGATATATTAAATCAATTCTTATTCTCACAAAAACCAATTTATTTTATTTCTTAGAATAAATAGTACATCTATCATTGTCAATATTTCTCTTCTTTTTTCTTTCTTCATTGGTAATTGTTGTCACATCTTTTTTATCATTTTCTCATATATATATATGGATATAGACATTGACAAATCACAATGGTTTTTTTCTTCTTTTGTGTGTACACATATTGATATCGAAGACATATTACTGGCACTTCGTCTAACTATCATTAATAAGAAATAAGAACAAAGACAAAAATAAAAAGTAATTCACATATTAACCTTGCATGGTTAAGTAATGTCAATGTCCTTGACTGCGAGAAAATGGATAATGATTAAAGCTTAATATTATCAAAATTTTGAAATTATCTCAGAACATCATTATATGTAAACAATGTAAAGCTAACAGAAGAAAGAAAAACAAATGAGGTTAATCAAGAATAACCATCAGATTTGTCTCATATATACTCAAAGATATTACTGGTCAATCAACCGAATTAACCTTTTTCTATAATAATGAAAGAATGTTATGAGAAGATTATGCAATTTTTATAGAAATAATATTACTATCAGAAACTATTTATCAATGATGATCGCAAGAAGTAAAGAAAGTTTTATTGATTACTAGAAACACCTCATGTGACAATATTGATTAGAACAAAAAGAAGAGGAATGATCAAACAATAAAATATAGACTAATATATGATATGATATGATACTTACAAGATTGAGATGCCATTTCCTGTTCAATATCATAATCATCATTATATTCCAATGTAATCGTTATATAAATAAATAAAACAAGAAAATAAATTATGTTTGAACAATCCATGATCGATCTAACACTTCTTTCATTCATAAAATTTATTCACAAAAAAATGTCATTGACATATTGATTGCATCGTATCTTGATTCATTTTTGGTTTGATAAGCATTACAAGACGGTAAGGAAATGAAAAGAAAAAGAAACTCGAAGATAGTCAATTTTGATAAACGTTGAATATGCTAGCTATATAAAAAGAAATACAATTTTTGATATGTATATGTAAATATATATGTATATATACATATATATATATATGATAGGACGGGATCAATGACATGCGGATGATGCTCACCTGGTTCGATCAATGATATACATGTATGGAGGAAAAGAAAAAAAAAATACGAACGAAAGAAGAAAAAGACTATATCTTTCTTTCTTTCTCTATACGTCTCTCTGTTCTTTCTATGTGTATATTATTCGATGCAATAATGAAACTTCTCGAGGATGTTCAGGAAAACATTCGGGATATTCATTTTCTTTTTCTTTTATATGATAGTTATTTCTTTTCATATTGTTGTAATATAAGAATCTGCACAAAATAAGGAAAAAGAAGGACGACAGATCTCTTAATGCAAATGTATGACTGTTTATTATCGCTTGATGAGAACCAATGCATTGATCTTATTTTCTTCTGTTATTATATTCGGATGCTTAGTGGTTATTAAGCGATAGCATACTGGTGTGGCAGATGAAATTAAAAAGACACTTTCTATTTAAAGCTATTGTTGACATGTCTTAATTTCTTATTCATTTTTATAATTAACGATTTTCGCCTACTTTTAACACTAAAAGTATTCTAACTATATTTATATATATGTACACATATAGACGAATGTCTCTTTCGCCTGATTGACAATTTTTCTTTGATTTTTTTTCTTGCTCGATGAGATGATTATAGTCAATTGTTTCATATTCTATTGTAAATCCAACAAGCTTGATCAATCATCTATTTTCGACTAATAGGCGTGTGATTAACTATATTCGCATATATACATATATATGCACAGTACAAATCGAAGGTCTAATTCATTCCACCCTTCAGTATCGATAATCGTATACGACCAATTATAGTTCCAATTGTTGTGGGTACAGTTCTATGTATTCTATATAATGCAAGCTAAAAGTGACGATTCATCTATTTAAATTTATTAAACAATCCGAACAATAAAATATGAAATATATTCCTCGATCATCTATGTTTTGTTTTGTTAATTACGCAAATAGTATATAATACATTCGGCATTCACACTTTTAATGATCCGTTTATGTCTGTAGTAGTTGTTTAACTAATCAATCTATCCATCATCTAGTGATGACTATTACTGACAATACATAAAAGCAGATCAATGAAGCATTAGTTTAGACATAGGACAAATACAATATCAAGCTAAAAATTGTTTTGTAAGAACAAAAAAACAATACATGATTATCCCAACAAAAAAAAAAAAAAGATTGATTCTTAATGCATTTACATGGACACGACATTAAACTAGTAGAAAAAACAGACATTGTTGAGTCACAAGTGAAGGTAAAGATATAATTAATTGTATTGATTTGCCTTGTCTTATGGACGAATGAAAAGATATCAACAATTATTATGTAAAACATAATGCTAATTATTATGTATCAGATTTCCTTCTATCATCTTTCTATTGCACCCATGATATCAGTAATCTATTTAACTTGAATGTTAATGAATACAAATAGAACATATATTCATAAATTTCAGCCATGATAAATTAAGCAAGAATGATTTCTTTTTTGTCCTTATTAAATTGATATTATTAGAACTATAGATACGCACAATAATTGTAATATGTTAACTATATTGTCAACAAAAAAAACGCATTTGATTGACAGATTTGTGATCGTTTTCTGGTAATAAATAGTACTAAATAGTAGCATTTACATAAAGTATAAAACAAATGTATAAATGATATGACTTATTAAACTTATCAAAAGTATTATTCTGCATAGATTGTGTTGATGTCTTGCAAAAATTAGACATTAAATTATTCACTGGTCAATATATCTTTATTACTTTGTGTTCTTTCAATATAAATGAAGGACAAGAGAAGATTTTTTCTTAGTAATAAAACCTTGTTATTGAAGATTACTGAAGTCAACAGTTTCTTTATATGGCATTCATAATTTAATGCTTTTAATGTACTAATAGTATGGATAAGTATATATTATAGATTTTGCTGAAAATATTGTATATTTCATTTTTATGAAACGAAGTCAAATGTTGTACAATACCAAACTTATACATATAATAGATAACTACGCAGTAGTAAATACTTACTCGATTGAAGATAATTCAGCATGATTTGGATGGTTTTTCGCAGACGTAATATTAAATTAAATATAAACTAAGACTTTGTTGTATTGAGAAAAACAACGATAATAACATAATAGAGATGGTATCAGACTCAGATGTATAAAAGCATGTTACTTATCAGTAGACAATACTCGAAGAGTCTGTATTTGTTTGCCATGAAATCAAGTTCTGATCATTATCATCTTCCGCAAATAATCTATCATACATAATAATTGATCATCCTATTGAAATCTGTCATCATCTCCTATTCTAATTACTTAGTTCCAAGTATATTTTCTCACGACAGAATCATTCCAAGTGGCACTCTCGTTTCAACTCATATAATGTTCTTTTACTGGATTTTTGACTAATTTTTAAGTACTCCTCGACAAAATGAAAAACGGAGCATTGATAGAAATTTTTGTTCATAGATAAATCTAATAACTTTTAGAATATTTCACAAATATCAGTCGAAAAGACTGTTCTTTCTTCGAGATATTGAATTTCTAAAAATAGTTCTTAGTCACAAAAGTCAAGTTCACTTGAGAATTCCATAATTCGGTAAAATAACATTGTTTTTGGCTGAAAATTTCAAGATATTCTTAGAGCTATGAGACCTATCTATGGGCAAAATTTTGAGATTAAAACTCCATTGTCCAGTATTCCGAGGCGTATCTAAAATTAGATCCAAAATTCAGTAAATCAGTCATTACTCGACGCCAAAGAGCAATAAACATGAATCATTGTGAACTTTAGCTACTCTCATAGAGACCTAGCTATGAATCAAATATGAGCTCAAACAGCAAATGTTCGTCGGAATAATTCTCTTGTTAGTACGGATTCTCATTTATTGACTGTGAAAATAAAATAAAAAGTCATTTACTTGTGCTAGTTTATTAAAACATCTATTATAAAAAAAAACAGACATTAGCTTTGTTTATTTGTTTCTGGTTGATCTCGGTTTTTAATTGAAGGTCTTTTTTCCATGTTACTTGTACCAGTTAATGATTGCACATTAGTATCATCATCTTGTTTTACTGAAGATTCTCGTCTACTAAGTGGAGAATATGGACGTAATAATTTTCGTTCTCGATGAGCTTTTAGCATAACATCATATGTATCTTTTAGCAAATCTTTTTTAATATATTCTTCATCTTTTTCATACAATTGACTATGTGCAATAGCTTTTCTTAAACCATAATTTTGATCAGTAAGATCCTTTTGAGGAAAAAATCCAGCATAAACAAGACGATTATCAGTTAATAGAAAATTAAATGTTTCACATGCTTGTGTCTATATGTAAAATAATAAATAAATATTGGATCATAAAAAAAGAACATTTATGCTTACTGTTGGTAATATTTCAAAACCAATTTTTAATGAACGTATAAATTGAATGGTTTCAGGAGGAATTTTATTTGTACGTGAACCAATACCCAAAACAAAAATTTCTATTTTAGAAAATATTTTATTATATTTTAGAGACAAAGACAAAAAAAAACTTATTAACCTGGACGAGGTTGCACTACTTCTAGTAAAGCTAAAGATTCAGGTGTTATTTGTTCTGGTGAATAAACCTAAAATAAATAAACAAAGATGAATAAACCGCACTGAATCAAAGAAATGATACAACTTCTTTACTTTTCACAAAATTCAAATCATCGAACAATGTAGTTCGAATAATATGGTAATGGACAATACCGAGATTACATTATTTCTGCATAAGAACAGTTTTTTTTTTGTGTAATTTGACACAAGATTCTTTTTTTATTAATGAAATAAGATTTTCTCCTCGAGAAACAACTTTTGACATTCTACATAAGACTTTTGTCTTGTTTCAATTATTCTAATATCTTGCTCTAAATCAACCTCTCAGACGAGTAAACAGGGTTACTGTTCGTCAATTCAGTATTTTCCTTTTATTGTAAATGCACCGAATAGATAAAGTAAACACATTAATAAAAATAATAATCAATCATTAACCATGTTAATAGATCGAAGATCTCGAAACTAAGAGAAAAATATCGCATCATTCTCGAATAATTACTTCGTACTTGTCATTCTTAAACACCACCAAGAGATATATTTTATTTTTTTAGAAGAATATTTGACAAGCAATTAAAAAACTTATAAAAATTTCCATGTAAATGTTAAATAAAAAAAATCCAAAAATAAATATATGGCATATTCACATATTACGAACTTCAAAAGAAATTCCAGATATACAATAAAATATTCTTCATAGATCAATCTACGACTCAACATTCAGTTTTGTGACATACTCTCTAAAGTAACTGTTGAAATATAGGAGTAGATATTTGACCGTCCTCATCTTCGATAGACATGACAGATACGTTAGACACAGTTTATCAGAGACGTGACAGACATGTTAACAACGACTTGTCACAGGCATGACAGACATCAATAGGAGATCATCATAGAACGTGATAGACACCTTAGCAACGTCTTTTCATCATCACAGACTGTGAGATCAAAGTCAACTGTGGGACTTGTATGATAGTTGTCTTTTACTTTTCTTTCTCACTCATTGCAATATATTACAATTAATATCTCTTGTCATCGCTATGTGTTAACAGTAGATAGAAATTCATCAACTTAAACATATATTGATTAATCTCTTCTTTTACAAGATCAGTAGTTCTATTGTGTTTCATATTTGTGCTAACAACGCTTTTGAATTAAGAATAAATAGATAAATATCATAAAAATATCTTACATTCCAACAAATAATTTGTCTAGGAAAGGAAAAAATTGCTCCAACAATTCTATCTTGTCCAGCAATCATAAAGCCATCTTCATATAAACCAGTTATTAATGGTAAATTTTTATTTTCTTTATCTAATGCTGCTATTGTCGTTGGCTCATATCTTTCATTAGGATAACCCATTCGTCCTTCAGCAGTATGACAAATATTTGATAAAGAAAAACATCTTTTTGTTAATTGTATTCGATTAAAAAATGTTCTAGAAGAATTTTTTAAAAAGATATTCATCTAGAATGAAGCATAAAACAAAATTAACTATTTTATTTATCTGACAACCATGATGGTAATGAATAATTATTATTTCTAAGAAGTTTTATTAATTTTTGATTATGTAATAAATAATAATTATTTAAATATTCACGTGCATAAGACGACATTTTTTCATATTGACGTCCTTTACTATTTCCAAGACAATGAAAATGATTTTTCTTTGATATTGGACAAAAAAAACCTTTTTTCGTATTAAATCTATTTGAAAAAGAAAACAATAAGTTTAATTTCTTTTATTTTTACACGGTTGAAAAAATGATATTCACTTGACTAGTTTTGATGAATTTATTGGATTTTTTAATTGTAGAAATGCTATTTGAATATCATTAAGAATTGTACGAGGATCATAACGAAATGCATCACCATCAATGATATAAATCTACATAAAACAAAAATAGAATTTATATAAACAGAAAAACAAAGATGAAGTTTTCTTAATAACTTGTTTTGATGGAAAATAGTTTAACCATTGACGAATATGTTCAGCATAATGACCAGGTTGAAGACAACGTTCTTTTAAATGAAATTGATTTGAATTATGACTGTCATTTAATTGTAATAAATTATCAAAATTAATTGTTTGATTAGTTCGAGCAATTTCATGCTAAAATAAAATATATTCAACAAATTTTTCAAGTTAAAATCGGATGGACAGAAACAAGTGATTGTTGTTATCGTAAGAGAACAGTAGAAATTTCGCTAAGACAATGTAAAACAAAACAAAAAAAAAAGGAAAACTTGAATTACTTATAGTTAACCTTAAATAACCATGAAATGAGGAGTAATTACGTCAAGAACATAATGCATAAGTGATTTTAGAAGACAGATTTGTACCCTAATATTTTCTAAATGATTTTAGAGAAAACTAGCATATCATAGAGTTTGAAGATCATATTGTAATTGCAAAAGTTTTTTTTTTCTGATGTCGATTAGTTTCGGTTGCAAAAAAACCGTACTTGTACAGAACACTACTCAAAATGAACTCATCGCATTTGATAGATTAAAGATGTAGCTCTTGAAATTCGCTGTTTTCTATTTTAAATGCATTCAGATATATAATATAAAAATAAACTAATCGTCGAGAAGAACGAAGAGATATTTATGCACAATGTCTCATTTATTCTACTGTTTAAAACTTTTATACAACTCTGCAGATAATCATAAAATAGATTTTTTTTATTTTACTAAGGGAAAGATTTTCTATCATCAATATGATCGTAAATATCTCACTTGATATCGTGAATAAGCACGAGTACCAGGTTCTGTAAGCATCATTATCAAACGAATATTCGGTAGCAATGCTTTAATACGTTTCATAGCTAACATAGAATCAAAATAAGTTGCTGATTTTTCAAAATTCATTGACCATTTAGAATCAATGCTATCCGAATCAAATTGATTTAAATACCTAAAATAAATTTAAGTTCAAAAATATAATAAAAAAGAAAAACAATCCTTCTTTCTTGTTTTTACTAACCAATTAATACCGTTTAAATAGGTTGTATCATTACTAAAAAATTGCAATTCTTCATAAGTTATGAAATTTCTTTTTGATGGATGTAAATCTGGATGTTGAGAAAGCATACTATATAACGCCGTAGTACCTAGAATGAAGTTTTTTTTTGTTTAAAGATTCTATGAAAAAATTTAACATTTTTTTTAAGACCTGTTTTTTGTGGACCAACAATCAAAAATTGTGGAAATATTCGACATAGTGAACGATTTCCATTCCAAAGATTCATCAACATTTGATCATGGCATGGATTCTAATGAAGAAATTATAGTCATCTCTGTATTTTTGGCATTTATATTGTAATACTTACTGTGAATATTGGCAATTGTTCATCTGGATAAAAATCATAAAAATATTTTCGAGCTAATTCAGATGTTGACAAATCATTAGAAAATTTAATTCTTGTCCATTTTGATATTAAATAAATAAGTTTAGAAAATACATAATTACCCAAACGATCATGACCATAATTAATATTATGTGACATAAATATTGAAATCTATAAAAACAAAATCTATTTAAAAACAATAAAAACCACACTTACTTACTGGATTTGTTAAAATTATTCGAAATAATTTACCACCCATTAAATATTGTTCTAAGCGATGACTACCATTTGGATAATTCGTATAATTTCGTGTTGTTGTATATAAACTACATGATTGTCGTGGTAGTACCTTTAAGTAAAATACTATAAATCCTATTAAGACGAAACGAAAAAAAAAATCTTACAGAGAGACCTTTATAAATGAAACCACGACGATTTGATGGAGACATATAATGATATGGATAATTTAGTGTACTTGTTACGTTGAAATTGATAATACGATGCCAGATATCATAAAGTATGGGATTGATTGGATAGATACCTGTATGATGAGGTGCTACGGCATAGTTCGGATCTAACGGTAAGTTGTATTTCTGAAAAATATTATCAACAGATTTACTATGAAGATTTCATTTTTGACTTTTTTAAATAGAGAGTTAATATAAAAAGTATGTTATGCAATAGGAAGATAATCCGATAACGTTTTATAGTATTAGTATAGTTCTAGACATGGATCAGGTAAATTCTTATGGGGTAGCAGCATTGGTATGTTCTAATGACGATTTATTTTTTCTCGAATGACGAACTTATTAAACAGTAATTCTCTCGATGAATAATGAAAAATTAGCAACATCATTTGGTAATCATAGAGTTCACTTTTTTGATTTTGTTTCAATAGCTCTTATTTCATAAATAAAATTTAATCAAGTGTGTAAGTGAAAAATTGATATTATTGGGCGCTCATAAGGTAATTACCAAAACTAATATCAATCATTTGAAGTCATATTGAGCTCTGAGGATCGACTCAATAAGACCAGAAAAAGCCTAAAATGGTTTAGCTAGATGGGCCTTTGAAGCTCAATTAGGACCGTTCGTTGACGGACAGAATGATCCGTAGAATATCCTAACAGTTTCAGCTAAAAACAATGTAATTTTGTCGAGACAGCGAATTTTCAACAAATAATAGCTTGTCATTACGGGTGTTTCTCTCGTCAACATTGAATATTCGACACTGATCAACTCGAAGCATTAATGTCGACTGCTTAAAAATATGTATTCGATTCCAAAAAGTTCTTGAAAATTGATTTCTCTCTTTTACTTAAAGAGTCCAAGCTTATTATACACATTTCTATCTGAGAAGTTCATCGCGGCTGGAAACATTTCACTATTGTGCCACGACAATAGCAAAAAAGAGCTCGATGATATTGTTAACATATCTACGGCATCGCCATGATGAACTTCTTTGATGTCTATCTGAGACAATGAGTCTTGCCTATTGTTAAAGACAGACAAGCTATTTTTTTCAAGTTATGATATTCAAAAAGGCAATACGGATTATATAACGAAGCTAAACCACTATCAAATGAATCATTTTGCAGCCTAATACCTTTACTTGATCACACTTTATTTACAATTTTGCTTTGCAGACACAAAGAAACGACTTGTACTTGTACATCTGTGATTATTGTTAATTACGCTATTTCACCAATCTAATATACGCAAAAAATAAATTTATTCTTATTGTATAGTCTTTCAATCAATATTTATAACTGAAGAATTTCGAATATTGAATCTTTTATAAAATGAATTTTAACTTTCTATAAAAAAGCGATCAAAAATGATTTACTTGTGCAAAATCTATATTCATTTTTGTTGAACTAATCAATGAAATTTTATCATAAACATTTGTTAATTTTTCATGTTTCCATGTGTGATGAAACCAAATAAATTTATCTTTTTCTTCTAGATAACAAATTATTGAAAAAAAAAAAACATAAATCGATGAGGAAAATTATTCTTACAAAAAAAAACAAAACAAAACAAAAAAGACTCAATACTTACTAATCAATAAACGATCACCTTGGTTATCTTCATCATTCCCTAAATCATAATAATAACCAGAAAATCCAAGTCGATAACGAAAATTTGATACATAATTTTGAATAAACAATTGTGAACGAATTAATGCTTGAATATCATCTGATTTTAAACGATCCTGAGATTTACTTCCTAAAAATATATCATCAATATCAATTTGAATATATCGATTCAATCCATAATAATCATATACATTCGAAGTTAAATATCTAAATATATCCATCATTAATGGCCAAATAAACCAATGATGATAAAGACATTCAGATAAATAAATTTGTTTTTCTTTTGATATAATCATTAAATTAATTTTTTCAAATGTTATTTTATTTTCTACATAGATTATTGTATTTATTAAGTTATCTTTATCGATTGGAAGACTAACACATTGATCATGAAGTCCATGAAAATGAAAAAAATATGGTAAAATTTTCTCAAAACGTAATAATCTAATAATTTTATTTGATTGTTTAATTTTAAATGGACTTTGTATTGTATGAATAATGGGTTTTAATTCTTCTCGATTGAAATCAATTGTTGGATAACTAATATTTTCAAATAACATTTGAGAATATTTTATTGATATACAATTGTGACATTGATTATTTAATAATATTAATAAACTAATTTGATATTGATTTATAAAATTATAAGAATTACTATTTGGTATACGATCAAGAATAATCATTGATGGAATATGAGTTGTTAAATCATTATAGAATTTTTCATCAATCGTTTTATATTCAATATACGATAAATGGAGTTCATTTAAAAATAAAAATAAACGTTGAATAGTTTTCGAACGGTATGATGAAACAATAAAAATAATTGAAGATTTTTGTTTGAATTCGAATTTATTTACGTTAGATTGATGAGAATATGAAAGTAAATTTTTAAATATTACTATTAGAATTACAAGAATAATTATTGTTTTAATTAAACGTTTAATTGAACAACGAACCATTTATTAAACTAGAGAAAAAGAAATCTAGAATGATTATCTATAGTAAGAAATATATATTATTTATATTAGATACTCAAGAGTTCTGATCAAAGTTTTTCAACATAAAAGTATGATAACCAATCAAAATAGGTTCATAAATATTCATATATAAATTTCTGATAAATATATTGAAACAATCTGACATTTATTCATACAATATTTATCTTTCAATCTTGCTTTACATATAAATTTGCTCATACACTATTAAACTTTTCATGATTTCTTTTTAAATTACAAAGAAGATACAATAATAATAATCAAAAGAAAAAAAAATAAAGGATTTATCATTCAATATATTTGGTTCGAATTATTTATCTATAGAAACGAAGCTTAGCATAAGACACTGAGCATAATAATGGGTCCATTGAACTAGAGTGTAAAAATAAACGCAACAAAAAAAAACGAAATAACAGAAGAAAGAAAAGAAATCAATTACATTCTCGTCAATAAAAAATAAAGAAATGTCATTAATTGCGAAGATCAATAATTTGACATTGTAAACCAGGATCATAAGTTGTATGTGATGCAGCCTACGAAAAAAACATACTCATTATCATTAGATTATCAATCAATATTTCTTTCAATATCATTACCATGAATAATGGTGGATTATTGATATGTTCATGAAAACCTGCCTTTTTACATGTTGATATTATCGGAATACCTGTATCTGGTGTAAGCGTAAAAACTGCAGTTCTGAATAAACACATACACATAAAAATAAGGTTATTTGATTAAAAACAAAAAGAAAATTTTCATACTCGTTATATTTAGGACTAATGACAATAGCAATAGCTTCTTGCATTAACATTTGATAAGGTAAATGTGTATGAAGATCAACACTTGACAAAAATACAGTTTGTGTTGGATGTGTCTATAGAGAAATAAATAAATAAAAGATTATGAATTTGATTTTTCGATATACATGAATCCAGCCAAGTGTGATTAAATTATTATTAGCAACATATTCAACCATTTCTTCTTCTTTTTCTGTATCACATGAATCTAGAAAAAGAAAAATTAATGAAAAAAAATTTAACTTTTGCTAATCCTTTTCAAGACTAGTGAACAGAATTTTGTAAACTTTTTCAGAGTTTATTAATGTTTGAAAAAGTTATGAATTCAGGAAAAAATTTCAAGATGTGACAGTGTAGTTTTCTTAGTTGATCTCAAATATGCTATTAGAAGTGAAAATAAATGTGAGTTAAATGAAATGACTCATAATTAAGGTGAATGTTAAATATTTTAGCAGTATGTAGAATTTATCTTCTTTTTTTTTTATCTAGGAAGTATTGAGATTCTTCTTCAGATTGCTTTATATATGTTATCATCAAACGAAAAAAAAACTAGGCTATAGTTAGGTACCTAGCTGAAAATAAACAACAACTCGTCAAAACCGCAGTTCTGTTTTGATACAGTTAACATGTATTACATGCTATTAATATAATAAGTTCAGATAAATTCGGTGATTTAAGCAAATCTCGGTAGCTGTTTCATACTTCGTGTAAACAATTACAAGACATTTTACAGCATTTGGTACAATGTTAAAGTGAAAACAATGTTCATTATTTAAGTGTTGAATTTTTTCGGAAAAAGACCTCAAACTTTCACAGTGGCATTCCATCATAGTATAGCTGTTTTGCAAAAACTATTAAGAACTAACACTTCAATTTCATGTCGTAGATAGAACAGAGTTACAGCTACATTTTACTAAAAAGAAATGAAATGTTTATATCTCACATACCATCTAGGAAAAGAGGCCTAAAATTGTTGCGAACTCAGCATTAGCTGATAACAATGATCGCACATATATAGGCTTACAGAAATATCTTACCTGGTCCACCATTCTGCTTTGGTACAACAATATGTGTTATCATATAGTGATTATCTCTCTAAAAAGAAAAGAGTCAATCAGAAAAAAGTAAAACTGTTAAATAAAACAAACCTTGCTACCAGCAAGAATACCACAAGTTTCAATTTTTCGATCTATCAATGAATTAGAAATAAAGATTTGTTTTAACAATTATATTTGTATTGAACCTGTATTTCGCTGTGCGACTTGAAGAAATTTAGGTGTAATATCAGAAGGAATAGCAATGCGACGAAGTGTTGTCATACTGGTACTTGTCGAGCCTATTCAAAAATAAAATTCAATAAATAAATTAAACAATGAAAGAAAAAAACAATAAACGTACTCGGCATTGGCTTTCGTGCACGATCAAAAGTAGGTCTTGAATAACAAACAAACAAATACTAATAAAAGATATTTAGAAAAAAAAGTCGAATTTACTTGACAGGTTCTTTATTAATTTGTACTAAACCACTATCTGTCGGTGGTACAGTCAATAAAGCGACGTGTGCTGGTGGTACTCGTGCATAATTATTTTTGAGTTGTTCAAGTGTTTGTTCATTTTCATTATGAAAACTATAAACAACAACAAAAAGATAGCCTATCTTGATTTCGAAGACTTGTTGAATATGAAATTCAAAAGTTTTCTTTAAAATTTTCTTTTGTTGTATTTTTTTTTGACCATAAAATGACAATAACGAACGAATTTTCTTATCTTATTGTACATGTGAACTTATTCATAAAGGAACAATGTCTTGTCTTTTTGAATCATACTCAAACTCTTAAGCAATCAGTATAATTTTTTACACGTCACATAATCAATGTCCTTAAAAAAACCTACATGACTTAAGGCGTCAATATAAGACATGTGTGAGCCTCGGTTTTCGAGAATTCATTCGTATCACATCTAGAAAAATTCTTCAATATTGGTTTTCTAATTTATTTGGCGATTAACACTTTTTTAGGTTATCTCTCTTCAATAATATTCTGATTTATATAATTGATAGAAAATCCCCCTAAAAACCGTAAAATACTTAACTATAATCTTAAGGTTCAGCTGGGATAATATTTTTCTCGTAGTCTCGGTCCTTCGAGTGTCTAGCCAATATCCTGTGTTTAAGCTTTTACATAGAAACACATTGAGACCAAACGAAGCAAAATTCTACGTTAAAACTTTGTTCTCGATCACCTTATCAAAAAAAAAATGTCTAAAATGAAATATGACCATGAATATTCCTATCAGTATTATGACTATTTTAGATAGTATGACAAAAATTTCATGTAAGTGCTGAGAAAAATTCCATCAAACGATTCGAATATTAAGTTTCACTATTGTAATAACTGAATTAGCATTAAAAATATTTGAAAAGCTACATAAAATATAACTATTCCTTTCTCTACTTTTTAAACTATTTAGTAAAATAGTTTTTCTACAAAACAGATATTCTATAAAATTCAATATTTCAGAGAAGAAAATGTGTTATGTATAAAACTTACAAAGAAGTTAATTAGGTTCAAATATAAATGAAGCTTCAGCTCAAAATTGTTTCTTTCGATTTTTTCAAAATATCATACAGTATACACTGGGTGTCCGAAGAGCCACCTACCAAAAAGTAAACTATAGATTTCCACTACATTTTTCGTTATTCTGAACTTTTCACCATTTCGATATCTTTCTCTTTTGCTATGAATATTTGCATCACAGCTTTTGTAAAATTTTTAAGTAACCGATGCATTTGTTCATAGTAATTCTTTCCTTTCTCGTCAAAAACTTCGATAAGAAGTGAACTGATACGATTTTAAAGTTTTCAAATTCACCAAACTCTAAACTAATATCTCTAATTTTCCAACAATATCATATTAATAGTAATAAAGTACGAGAAGGACACCTGGATGGCGAAAAGTCTAGAACAACGAAAATAAAACTTGCCAACAATTCAGCAGAAAATCTTGTTTTTTGAATAAAAAATTTGCAAGCTCTGTTTATTAATGGAAAAAAAAAACATCTGGTTTAGTTTAATTGTAGTGGAGATATATAGTTTTCTTTTTGATAGATGACCTTCTGAACATTCTATATTATAATTAAAATTTCGGCAGAAAATTCCCTTAGAGTTTAATATTTTCAAATATCCATTGCCTCAAAAAGATCTATGTGTAGCCTTAAGATAAATTTAACAGTCAATTAAGTAGTACACATCGTTCTTGATATGTCTTTTTTTTTTGTCACAGATTGTATCAAGTAATTAATTCACAGCCTACTACTCTTTTTTAAGTTAAACAATATTTTTTTGTTCGTTCATATATAGATAATTTATATACAGAATGATGATTAATTACAAGTAGATATTTCATTCGAAAGAAAAAGAATCAGTCAATTTCTTCAAACATTCTGAAATACATAAATATTATAGTTTCAAATATCAAAGGGAAAGAAAACGTTGAATGTTTTTGTTTTCTAGATGAAAATTTTTTATTCTTTATTTAAATCTGTTACGCAGGAAGAAATAAAGTTATTCTTACTTAGCCTGTGGTAAAGTCGACGATGCAGTTGCAATTTTTGCGTTTTCTTCTTCTTGTATTGTTTTCTATTTAAAAAAAAAAACAATCAACAATATCAAATAAAAATTTCATTTTTTTTTTTCTCAAAATACTTGTTTTGCTTCATATTCACGTGCATATTTTTCTTTTAATTTTTCTTTTAATTCTTCTGCGCGTGGTAAAGCTTTTGATCGAATTATCTGTTAATAATTATGTTGAATTACAAAAACCCAAAAAATAAAAATTGTAAAAATTTACGTCTTTAACACGTTCACGATCATTTACAGAAACAGTCGCATAACCTGGATGGTGTAATTTAAGTTCTTCTACAAATAATCTAAAAATAGAAATCTATTCATATAAATTGTCAAATAATTTCATTAAACATACGTAATATATCTTGAATAAAGAATAAAACTTTGTTCTAATTGATTATTTTTATAATAAAAATCAGCTTCATCAATTAAAGTATCTGATGTTTTATAATAAAAACTAATTGGTGTTATTGAACGAATTGGAATCCGACATTGATTTTCAAGTAACCATTGAACTTGATCTCGAGCAAATTTAGTTGATTCGTCTGAAAATGACATTATTATCTAAAATAATAAATATTTATTTTTATTCATCTTTAGTATAATGACAACATAAATGTATTATAATAACAACAGCAATTAAAGCTAACACATCATGTTCATCATTACAGACTTCAATCGTATAACCATTATTACGCGTGATTTTCGCTATAATATCTTGTTCATCACTACCTATTATTGAAAAATTTGAACCGAAGTAGTCTCCAATAGTATGAAATTTAACTTCCTCAAGTTCTGATACGATTGTAAATTGTTGATGTAATAAATTTAATTTTTTACGTATATTTAAAACTAATTGTTGATGCTTATTATAAACAGCATATGTTGGACGTAATGCAAAAAATTTTTTTTCGACTGTACATACAATATTATCAGCTAAAAAAAATCGAAAAAAAAAATAATTATCTATGATAATATAAATAGATATAATATTTACCAAGATCAAATATGGTTAATTTTCTCATAACTGAATCCATTTCATTTTTAACTGAATAACGTTGTAAACCTTCATCATCAAGAACAGCAAATTTTGATGAAAAATCTTCAGTATTGATACAGAATTTCATATTTATTTGTTTTTCTGTTTATCAAATTATAATAAATATATTTATAATCAAAATAATGGTTATGCATCAATGCACGTTTTCCTTTTTCTTTACATGGTTGATTAATGAAGGTTTTTATATAGATAAACAATATTCTAGATACTGAAAACGATGAATAACATATAAAATAAGTTGTTTTCTTTTTTCATGATGCCGAGAATATCATATGAAATGAATGAATTTAGTATGGTGAATTGATATATCCACTGTTGTCTGACGATAGATGGCAATAGAGAAATAAATACATGAAAATAAAAATAATAAAGAACTTTTTATTTTGAATTTGAATGATTTATTTTATTTGTCTTATTAAATTTTCTTTCTCACTAAAATAAAATTCTATTGAATATTGATCGAATATTTAACTGGTGAATTTGTTCAACCATACATGAATTTGTTTGCTACGTAAAAACAGTTGGATATTATATTTGCTCTTCTAACCAACAAAGTATATGACGTATTTAACTACTTTTAATATTTTTTTTAATGAGTTTTATTAATTAATATTAATTTAGAAGGATAATAATGTAGAGTTACAGAAATAGTTATATTTCTTATCACATGAGTAGTCTATATCATTAGTATAATTATTTTAGATTTATTCAAAAATACATATTAAATGCTTATTCAAATCCAACGAAGATGTGACCAGAATTTGTTAGGAGTAATTCTTAAGCTTTGATTCTCATCAACTTTTTTTATAATATTCAGAATATCATTGTTGACCAATTATCACTATAAATGAGTTTAGATCATATGTAACTAATATTCTTTAGATTTGTCTTTTTTTTTCGAGACTAACATTTATGAAATTAATGCTAATTTAAACATTTGAACTTGATGTTTTTCGAGGGTAACAATATCGATTTCGATCAATCGAAAGTTAAAATCATTTGTAATTAGATGTCAATATAAATAATTGTTAGCGTTTGTTTTGAATTAGCTAAAAACAAAGGATCAACTGAGTGACCTTTACATTATTTCGATATTGACAATAAACTAATCAGCTGCATAAATCTAGGCGAGTTGTCTAATAATTCTTTTTTTTTTTTTGCGTAATTTAGTGAAATGCATATGAAATAAATTAGTTTTTATATTTCTACGAGAAAAATACGATCGTGATGCAGCTGTTGGATGAAACCTTGAGTATTCCTCATGATTTATAGGTCTTGAATCAATAAAATAGCGATCTATAACGACTACTAATTTGACTGTTGTTAAGCTCATATGAAAAATAACCAAAAGAGATTCTTAGCTAGTACAATCGATTACACAAAATATGCCTCACATCGATATTATCAAACACTAAACTGTTTGTTTTTTTTTTCTTCCATTGTAATAGATTATATATTGTTGTTCATTGAATCAAAACATAGTTACATTGTTTTGTTTCTTTTTTTTTTTGTACAGTTTTTACTGGATTAAATAAATGATTTATATTATTAAAACAATATATTCTTATGAATGAATTTCAAAGCAGGTATCGAGTCACATGCAACAATGCCTTCGTCGTCAACAAGTCGTCGACGCAAAGGAAAACAACAAAAATCATCTGCAATAACAAATTCGTAAGTTAGATTAAATTATCTTTTTTTGTTTTTATTTATTTTATTTCAATAATTGATTTTATTTTAGTAAATTACCATCAGCATCTAAAAATCTTGTAGAAAAAGAACATCTATTAGCATTTAAAAAGTCACAACAAGAAATGTTACGACACGAAACAGATAAAATCGTTCTATGGAGACATCCAATACGTACAATACATTATTGCATACTTGAATTAGTTTATCTTTTTCATCATAACTTTAAACGTTTCGTATCATATCGGAAAACTTTATTGATATCAATTATTCTATTTGCATTTCTTATATTTATGTATAATACTGAAGGTGCACATCAATCAAGTATTGAAAGAATTGAATCTTTATTTCTTTGGTCACTATATTGGTTTGGTCTTGGTATAGCATCATCCGTTGGACTTGGTACAGGTTTACATACATTTCTTCTTTATCTTGGTCCGTTTATTGCTCAAGTTACATTAGCTGCATATGAATGTGGTTCAATTAAATTTCCTCGTCCACCATATCCAAATGAAATTGTTTGTCCACAAACAACAAGTACAACAACAGCACGTATACTAACAAATGATACTGAAACAATTTTAAATGATTTATTAGAAACAGGACCAATATCATTTTGGAAAATTTTATGGAAAGTTAAATTAGAAGCATTCTTTTGGGGCTTAGGTACAGCATTTGGTGAATTACCACCATATTTTATGGCACGTGCAGCACGTTTAGGTACAACTGATTGTGATGATGATGAAGAATTAATTGAATTTGAAGCATTAGTACTTAATGCTGAATTACATAGTTCAAGAAATTTAACATTATTTGAACGTGCTCGTTATTTAATTTATCGTCTTATAAAACGTATAGGATTTCTAGGCATACTTTTATGTGCAAGCATTCCAAATCCATTATTTGATTTAGCTGGTATAACATGTGGTTATTTTCTTATATCATTTTGGACATTCTTTTTAGCAACTATTATTGGAAAAGCACTCATTAAAATGAGTATTCAAACAGTATTTATTATATTTTTATTTAGTGAACATCATGTTGAACGTATTATACGTTGGATGAAACATATACCATATTATGGAAAGTTATTACAAACACCATTTAAAGATTGGTTACTTGAACAAAAAGGTAAAATGCATAGAAAACCTGGAGAAAATTTAACTGGTCATGTAACAAAAATTTCAACATTAACAAGAATTTTTAATATATTTGTTGCCGGAATGATTATGTATTTTATTGCATCAATTATTAATTCATTAGCGCAGCGTTATTATAAGCGGACACGTACTGCATTAAAAACTATGTAAAACAAAAGATAACGCAATTTGTTTTTTTCCTTACTTATTCCTACCGTTTTCATGAATGATGTATTTTTTTTTCGTTTCGTTTGAATTTATCCTACATTTGTCCAGACTTTTGGCGATCAAAGATACTGTTTAAAGCAAGAAAAAAAGAGAAATAAAAAGCATCGCTGTGAATCTTCTTTTTCGTTCTCTTAATTATTCATGTAAATTTATTTCTATCTCCATATCTTTGCATTTTTTTTTGGGTTGATTGTATTTTTTTTTGTTTGCTTGTTTCATGAGCTTGTTTTTTCTTGAGCAATCTATGAATATATTACGAATGAGATGTAAAAAAACAACCAATAAAACACCATTAAAAAAAAATATTATTCGGGCTAAATGTTCCTGAATTAATACATATATCAGATTGTACAAAGGTAAATAGAAATATCAGTTGAAGTATGGCAGACAGTGGCCACAAAGTTTCATTATGAGGTAAAAGGCATCCCAATTTTAATTTTTTAGTGTCATAGTTTGACCACAAATAGAGCATACTAAAGTCTGATTGAAAAGACTGGACACAACTTAATTGATCGTCGCATTGAAGATATTAGAATCAACATAGTTTTTCTTTTTAAACCCTGATATCTCAACATAGAAAACAAGTCTCATGACGTAAAATACTCGATTTGACAGCTCCGACTTATTTTTCATCATTACTTGCACCGTACGATTACAGTTGGTTGGAGTACCCTATCTGTGATACAATATACACATCCAAAACATTGTTCGTTAACAAGAAAATGGAGGCTAACGCATCTAAATAGTAAAAAACTAGAAAAATGTCAAAGAAACTTTGTTTTTGGGTGCTAAAGAAAAAGACGATATGTTCATTGTAAATTCTTTGCCTCAAGGGCTACATTGAAAAATACCGACTAACGTGAAAAGTCGTCTAACTGATGAATTGTTTTTGAGGCGAGCCTATGTACATGACGGAGATCCAAATGAGCTATGAGTACCCTGAAAAGAGTTCGTGCCGTTAACTTACTGCAGCAGAAATACTGCAATATTACATTATTTTTAAAGCAGAGCAGTGAGCCTCCTCAGACGCATTAGGAAAAATGATTTTCGAATTTCGATTTGAAACGTAGCAAACAGAAAGATGTTACCACGTATAGTTTACTGTGAAAGTTTCGTGTATTTTCTGTTGCTCATGAATTTAGATACGACTCTGATCAACGCTCGTTTTCCAATCAAAATTCGAAAATCAGTTTTTCTGATGTTCTAGAGGAATGAAGACGTTACATTAAAAAATAACGTATTGCTTCAATATTTCTCAGCAGCAATAAGCTAAGTACTTGAATTATTTTTAGAGTATTTTTAGTTCATTAAGATCCGCATTATAGACATATTCTTGTCTCAAAAACAATTGAATCATCAAAAGTGATTAGTATGATGATTCATATAGAATTCTGGCAACTCACTTTGCCTCTTTTTACTTCTGTTTTTTAAACCCTCCTCTTTATGCCCTGTTTTTGAATAATATGACTATTTTTCTAGGAAAAAACAAGATTTTTACGAAAAATAGTCATACGTGTTGGTCGATTTTTGATGCATCAATACGCTTTGAAGCAAAAAGGTCAATGAAAAATTGCAAACTTTTCTTTAACATATACCATGAGAATCAAATGGGCATAAATTCCGATCTGAATCAGCTTTAATATAATTTTTTGGCTCGATTTTGAGGAAGACACCTAAAACCGATGTTATGTGAAGGTAAAATTGAGATATAATTACTAAAATAGGTTCCGGTTGACTTATTTACACACAAGTATAAAAGTTTTAAAATTAGATGACTGAGCTCATCGAAATATTTATGGCAATTTGACACACAGTTTGAACGAAAACCAAGAAAGCTAGAAATATGAGTCTTAGCACGATCTTTGGATGTTCAACAATGAGAAGGTCGACTTGAACATAAAGTAATAATGACTTCTTACGGACTTCGGGGAAATTCACCGAATCTGCTGACTTAAAATAATTCAATTTACTTTATCATATGCAGATTTTTAAAAAATCGTCGAAATTCAAT